TTTTTCTATTTGTAAGCGGTTTTAACTAATACAGATATACCTTATTGTATTTTACCCAGTCTTTACGTGATTCTAATAAATGCAGTGATTGAATGATGGAATCTCAGTAAGTGATTTGCTGTTCTAACACGGCCGACCCGGGGAAACTCGAAAGATTGCCCCAGCCGTAACACCTGTCTACCCAAATCCGTCAAATTGAAATATAGCAGAGGAAAATATCTATCAGAGGAAAATCCGCTAATAGCGATAGCATTGTTAAATCAAATTGAAAAAAAATATAAAGTAAAAGTGACTTAAAACAAGGTGAAGGCGATCTACCACGGGGAATTGAATTTTAGAAATTACATCCCTCTGAAGCGTGTGAAGGAGTGCGGAGTAGCGAGTTTTACAAATATCACAACACTCGTGGCTCCACACTACTTTGATTATGTCATGACGCAATTTATCGTCAATAAGGGGCGAGGTCAAAACAATGGTCCAAAATAGGGACCGGTACATACCCCCTCCCCCCTCAAAGACCTGTTCAAACGTTCGATACTGGAGGTCTGTAATGGCAGTTTCTATACACAAATATGTTTTTAGCATACATGCAGATAGACAGTCCATTCATTTCTGTGATTTGGTTTTCCGTTTTGGAGATATTTGGGGACAAAATTGCCCCATGTAAGGGAATCCGGACTTATGGTGGATTCCGGATCCCAAGCGCTGGATTCTGGATCCGAGACTCTGGATTACGGATTCCAAAACTTTTGTATTGCGGATTCCTGATTCCATATCGTTAATTTGCATCTGATGACAGATATTCTCGGTGGAGATATTACACAGTGGGGAAGGGGCTACATCGGTTCAGTCTAGGTCGAGGCGATAGCATTTGAGTGTAGACTTTGAATTTAAAAGTAGCGGTTCCGGATTCCAAAAGGGTGGATTCCGGATTCCAAAGCCTAAAATTTCGTGGATTCCGGATTCCGGATTCCCTTACATGGGGCAGACAAAATCTAAGATTTCACTTCCAGAGGTAGTGGGTACCGAATAACACCACCCCTCCCCCCTAAATCGGGTCAGTTGAGATGACGATTGTTTTGCCCTCCTCCCTAAGAGGATAAAGACATAAAAACCTGATGTCTATTTGTTAATTTAACGGCCATTTTTTCCATCTTTACTGTATCTAAATCGAATTTTTTAATTTTTAATTTTTGAGGAGGCGTAATCAGCAGGGTAATTTTTTCCCGCTTATTACAAACCAGTCCCAGCAAGTCTTTCATTAAGCCAACTAAAGGATCTACGGAATAAGGGGAATTGAGATTTCCCATTTCAGTCCACGTTTCATTCTCAAGAGAATAAGATTCTTTGTTCTAGTTGTATCCATCCAATTTTGGTAAAAACATTTATATCGTTTTGGTATGGATTTTTGGGCACACAAAATGACAATAACGAAATTTTTCGGGACAACCATTTTGATTAAATAAATACTTGCTGAAAAAACAGAGCTGTATATGAATTGAGCGAAATCATGTGCAGCTGAAGAGGCTTGGGTGTAAAGTTTTCCCATTTCAGACCACGTGTCATTCTCTTGAGAATAAGATACTTAGTTTGAGTTGTATCCATATTCATGTGTCTTCTCGCGTGCAGCCATTAAACAAAGAAATGATACTCAAGGGAATGACACATGGTCTTGAGAATAAGATTCTTTGTTTGAGTTGTATCCATATTCATGTGTCTTCTCGTGTGCAACCATTAAACAAAGAAATGATACTCAAGGGAATAACACGTGGTCTGACATAGGAAGACATTATGCATAAGCTGAATGAAAACGAACAAAAAATAAACATAGCGTCCTGATAACTATTTTAAAGAGGTTTAGTGCTAATATTTTTATGCTTTCTTTAGTATTTGTGAATATTTACGACAAATCAGAGACTACGCAAATGTTTTAATATAAAGAGCGATATCCAAAAACTAAGGTGATAAAAAGGTCTTTTCTTATAAATTCATTAGATCTTATCCCCCCATGTGTCAAGATTAGAGTTTTAAGCTTTACTTTGTTCAACTTCTCTTATAAATTCATTACATCTTATTCCCCCATGTGTCAAGATTAGAGCCCTCTGACTTCCTTTGGCGATGACCAGCTTATCTCCTACCAGTGGCTGTGAGTTCTGTGGATAACGACTATTATGATGTTGAGAGGGCATTGATGAGTGACTTGTCACGCTGACCTGTTGTGACATCCCGCGGGTCACGGGATGGCTCATGGATGGACGGGTTTTTGTCTGTCGTGGTCCTTTACCACGACCAATAATAGTTCCTGTCGTCATCATCGTTTTGTTGGTCTTGCTGGCTTTACGAATCTTTCGTTTTACACCCGCTAAAAAATAAAAGTAACATGGTTAAGTCAAGATCACTTGCAGTCACGCCACGCACGGCGAATCACGCAAGGTATGCATGATCATGTGGAATTTAAAACGTCTGCGCATGCTCGAAAAAAAATCGAAAAATGTATATTCTATGATGCCGAAACGCACGCATGCGCAAATGTTTTTTTCTCTAGTGTCGCTGGTACCGATTTATAACAATAAAATAATAATGATAATAATTTATTATATTTATATAGCGTTATATAATATTACTCTATAACACTTTACAGATAAATGCAAAAAGGAAATGATTATATAAGAAATAAATATTAGGATTAAATATATATCATATACATATATGAAAAAAATATATAAAAAGATAAGAATAAATATGGCATATATACATATAAAATATTATCCTGTCCATTGTAGAAGACTATCACGTGTAAGCTTCTACAAATAAAAGTGTCTTCAGTAATTTCTTAAATATGTTAATGCTCGTGTATGTCTTTAGTTCTCTCTCTCTCTCTCTTATACAGTAGAGGCAGTGTAAAAGGAAAGAAACTTGCAGTACGTAAGAATGCAGTTCCATTTCCAACAATAGGTTTCCATTTATTAGGAGATTAAAATTCCTTTGTTTTGTCCTCCAAATTGAGCTACTTTGACGTCACATTCAAGGCGTCCATAGACCCTTTCAGCTTGGGCGTAAATTTTTACCATTTCAAACCACATGTCATTCCCTAGAGTATGATTACTTTGTTCAACGGTTGCGCACGAGAAGACACATAAAAATGGATACAGCTCAAGAAATGAATCTTTTTTCTCAAGAGAATAACACTTGGCCTGAAATGGGAAAACATTACACCCAAGGTAAAGAGTTATATTTCAAATGGCATATTGCGCAATATTGAACGTTTTAACCAGCGTCTGAATCATTAGACACCAGACGGTCACGTCTTTCGATAGTCTCCCCCACAGCCGCTTTCAGTGTCGTCACGCAACGCTTTCTCCCCTGAGTAGCTATTCAGGGGAGAAAGCGTTGCGTGACGACATTGAAAGCGGCTGTGGGGGGAGACTAGTCTTTCGCTAGCAAAGAAAAAACTTCTGGAAAGATGACATTATTTAAGTGAAATGTATAACATCCGGAGAAACAACTAGGCATGGGAATACATAATATCATATAAATTAATTATATAAATAGTTTTAATCTATTAAAACTATTAAAACCCCTCTTTCGCAAAATTAAAAAATAAAGAAGAACACTGACACTTAAACCGGATCAAAAATAATTGATTTATTCTCGTTAATTTATTGAGTAAAGCCTAGTGACATCCAACATGACATGACATGCTTTCAAACTATCATTCTTGTTCTCATAATTGTTCTAGTAAGATGTATACCAGGAGCGTATTCAGGATATCCCCAGGGGGAGGAGGCCGGGTTCGATACCAACCAATTTCAACAAATTAGCCCCCCTCCCCCTAAAAAAACTCACAATCGAACTGCTACTGAGAGGGATAAAAGGAAAATCTGCGATCTTGGATATGCTCCTGTATACTGACTTAGGAACGATACTGCCTAAACTCTTACACTGATTTAAAACTCTAACTAAGCTAGCTATCGCGTGGCTTGAAAACTAAAGAATGTCTTAAGCCTCAAGTGGCCAGCAGCAGGTTTGCTGTAGTACATGCGCAGTGAAGTTTTTCTCCAGTTCACAATATCTTGGGTGTTTTATTCACAGATTTTGATACCTGAAAAATACAAAGATTTGTTAGTATTACACATCAAATACGAAGATATAGTTAACAGACACACAGAAATTTTCACATTAAGAGTTGAGAGCGTTAGCCTCTCACCAAGGCCACCAGGACTCGATTCCCGGGCTCGGTGTCATATGCTAGTAGAGTTGTTTGTTTGTTCTCTCCTGTGATTCGAGGGTTTTTCTCCGGGTTCTCCGGATTTTCCTCCCTCCGCAAAAATCAACTTATAAATTCTTATTCGATCTATCTATCAGTAGTCTTATCAACTAGTGGATTGCAAAACCTGTTAAGCTATCCGTCCACCAAAGGAGTGTTAAATCCGATTAGTTGTTTTAGATTTGTCTGTCCCACACACACCCACCTATCTGACTTGTATGATGACACACACTAGAACAGCAATCATTGTCCCTCAGGCAGGATAGGATTGCGTGACACAAGACTTCATGCCCCATGTCTGTCCCACACCCACTCACCTATCTGACTGGTATGCCGACACACACTAGAACAACAATCAGTGTCCTTGAGGCAAGGATAGGATTGCGTGACACAACACTTCATGCCTTTAAAGGGTCCCTGCTGAGCTTGGATTTTTAAGGACTTTTGAATTTGAGACAATGGACCGATCTGAAAGATAAAATGTATTAACTAGTATCAATGCTCTGCTGGAACGTATGACTACGGCACACTACGGCACTGCACGGTACGGAATTGACCCAATCACAGCGCTTGAGATCACTGCTTAACGAATCAAAATGTTGGGACTAGACACCTGCACGGCAGTCCGTACCACCATGAGTTTATTCTTTTCTTGTGTACATATCAAGGGTGATGTATAGCGGTATGTAGTGAACTCGCCTCTCACCCGTCTGGTGTCTTTGGGATTTGATTTCCTGGAGTTGGCATCACATGTGAGTAGAGTTTGTTAGGTCTTTTCCTTGATTTAAGGGTTTTTCTCCAGGTTCTCCGTTTTTTCACCCTATTCAAAACCTAACAAATGCTTAATTACAAGCTAAATATGTGGCAGAGTTAGCCTTGCCCTGACTTTGACCAGCCTGATAAAATGTTATCTCAATTATTAATAAAGAAATGTTTCGCGGGCTTCCGATAAGGTAGGTACCATCATCCGACCTGGAAATGACCTCCATATAAAATAATAATCTCAGGACATTCCGGACATTCTCTAGATATTCTCTAGACAGGTCAGTGTAGAGAAGCTTTCCAAGATATCTTATAATATAATATATCTAATAATCTCAGGACATTCCGGACATTCTCTAGATATTCTCTAGACAGGTCCGTGTAGAGTAGCTTTCCAATATAGCTTATAATATAATATATCTAATGATCTCAGGACATTCCGGACATTCTCTAGATATTCTCTAGACAGGTCAGTGTAGAGAAGCTTTCCAAGATATCTTATAATATAATATATCTAATGATCTCAGGACATTCCGGACATTCTCTAGATACGTGTAGAGAAGCTTTCCAAGATATCTTATTATTCTGACATTTTCCCATCACTAGACCTTTTTGTTCGATCTCAAATCAATGACCATGGATAGTAGGCTCACACGAGATGCTGGAAATAAACCCTGCCTAATATCTTCCTAATACACCTCTACCTTGGGCGTAATATTTTCCCATTTCAGACCACGTGTCATTTTCTTGAGAATAAGATTCTTTGAGTTGTATCCGTATTCATGCGTCTTCTCATGGACAACCGTTAAACAAAGAAATGATACTCTAGGGAACGACACGTGGTCTGGAATAGGAAAACATTATGCCCAAGGTAAAGAGGTCTATTCTAAAATAATAAAACATCGTTCAAACAACATTCAAACCAACTTTCCTCTATTGAGTTTTTACAGTCCCTTGACAATGATTGCAATTCACTTACGAGGGTGTTTCGTGCAAACTATGTTGTAGGACAGAACAATGCTATATTTTTACATGACAAAATGTTTCTTTTGCCAAAGAAAAATATTACCATTGCTGGCTTTCACTTAACTTCTTTTCATGTGTAGTGGGGAATGTTCATCAGTTGAATCGCAAGTTTTCAATAGGATTCTTTCTGGTTGACAGCACATGGTGGTCAGTGTTTGACCACCATTTGGAGCTGACAATGAGATTCAAAGACTTTTATCAGCTGAGTGAAAGCCAGCAATGGGTTTGGCCTGAAACACAGCTGCAGTGCAACACCACTCTATTTAAAAAAACTTACTTTCTCGCTGTATTGTAAACGAGCTAAGGTTTCTAAGTAGGCCACGTATTGTTGATTACTCCGTAGTTTACTCACCTTAATTCTGGGTTTGGGGTTTCCAGGATCTCTCGCAGAAGTAGTCGTAATCTGAAGACTCACGATCAAAAACGCAAAGCCAACCACATAAGCTACGGTACTTTGGGCCACCATCTTCGATTCCTTGGTAATTTATAGTATAAATTCGAACTGTGAGGCAGCTGTAGTCTCTTGACGGTGGGAAGTTTTGTGTTGTCAGTTTGGTTCGGAAGGTGAGACTGCGGTTTGGCTAACGTTTAGCCTTTATATATCGTGATGAACATTATAATAACGATCAGATAAACGAAGGCCGAATGAATGTTTATGGAAATCAGTAGTGCGTAGTTGCACTTCAAACAAATCTCAATACGTATGCATCCTAAAACCACCACAATTTAATAATATATCAAAGATTATACTGTCGAAAAAATAAAATGGATTTTTTTGGTTTACACCCACACTTGCGCAGCAACAATCACGAAACTTTTCATTCCAAAAATAAAGAAAGTTGAATGAATTTGGCGTACTTATTCTTTGAAAAGAAAATCAGTTCCGACAGTCGTTCGTTGGTTAAGATGGTCTTAAAATATCCGTTATCTCTAAGATAGTTAGGCACCCGGTAAGAGGATTTTAGTCCGTTATTATGATGTTAGAATCATAGGTTTATCTCTTGTGAAGCAATTAGTAATATTAGAATAGCCGCCGGAAGGGTTTCACTCTCAAAGAAACACTAAGTGACGCACAGAGATATGAATATTATTGTCTATCATATAGACACTAATGTTTTACAAGGAGATACCATTATTTTTATACCAACATCGATTTTATACAGACATCGATGACGTCACTTCCGATGTTTTCCCGCTCACTTTAGACGCGCGTTGCAACAAGTTTTTGTCTGTGAATATGCTTATTTACTATTTTTACACAAGTGAATATAATAAATCCGGCCCGCTCATTGGTCACAATTTACGTCTTATGTTGCTATATTCACCCACAGGCAAGAGAAAAACTAGCCTCCTTTGCAACCGTTCTTAGGGTCGTCACGCAACGTTTCCCTCGTTGCGTGACGACCCTAAGAACGGCTGCAAAGGAGGCTAGAGAAAAACCGTCTTTCTTCATTATTTATTAAATTCACTTGTGTTAAAATACTTAAACAATTATTCATTATTAAATATTAAATAATAAAAAGAAAATTACACGTTGGCTCGAAGATACTAAGTTTATCTTCTCGTTAAAAACTGAATATTCTACTCTTTGCTGAGCTCACTCATAAGATGTTTTCACCACTCGAAGATAAAATTCATTTCTTCGCGTCACCGTGTAATATCCTCTATCAAGAGAAAATGATTTAAGAGAAGGAATCCCCGTGCTCCATCATGTGCACACTTTGATGCTATTTTTGGAATCATTGATGCTATTTTTAACTCGTTACCAGGCCCGCGCGATAATCATGCTTCCCTTTAATGCCTTGTTTTAGGACACGAAAAGCGCCATATTTCTCTACGTCCACAACAAAAACACAGGCTTTGTTTACTGCGAGACTGGAGGCCGCCTACCCTCAAGAAATCAACCAATCAGGTTCTTCACTCAAAATATCTCCAAGCTAAAAATAGCATCAAACTGTGCACATGATGGTTACAAGGCTATATAGGTAGGATTCCTTCTCTTAGTTCATATTCTCTTGGCCTCTATATATGGAATTTGTTGTTAATTTTGATAACGGAAAAGTGTAACTGATGTATTGAGGACGCTTGATTAGAATCAGTGCTTGATTATCACATCCTAATATCATCATAGTCAAAGTATTGAAGAGGCGTACTATTAAAGGGGAAGAAATGACGTAGAAGTAGTAGTATAAAGATTGGATTTCATGAGTTTTGAAGAAGGCAAAAAAAGTAGAAAGAAAGAAGGAAAGAAAAGGAATATCAAACTTCGAACATTTGAAGAAATGGAAGTAAATTCAAAGCAGAATAATAAAAGAAAGGAATCAACAAAAAGGGGA